AGAGAGAGAGAGAGACAGAGAGAGAGAGAGAGAGAGAGAGAGAGAGAGAGAGAGAATCTCACAGCTCCTGGGGGATCAGGAGCTTCATATGCCAATCTAGTGCCTTTTCTTCCCTATATCACAGGCTTGGGTTCAAGCTCTGTGGACTCAGTTGGGACATACCTACCCCACAAGAACTCTTTTCCTGGAAAAGCAGACACAGAAATAATAAACTTCATACAAGCTTTCAAAAATGGAAGCTGATACTCATTCCCTCCAAGACCAGTAAACCGGCCAGCTCACCCACTATAGATTTCCCCTTATAGATCAAGAGGTACTTACCACCGTCATCTTGCAGCCTTGGTTGACAGCCAGACTGTTGCTGGTCTTCTTGGGTTTCTATATATATTTGAGAAAGTCACTTTCACTTTCCCTTTCCCTTTGAACTGCTTTGGAACAATCATTTGTTAAGTTAACATGGACCAAAATATCCCCGGTCTGAGAACAGTCTGTGCAGTTAGTTGGCTTATCCCATAAGCAAACAGAAAAATCCCCGAACACATTCTCAAATAGCTGTTTCCCACCTAAGGAATTTCTTGCTTGGTAAAGAGTACAGTGCTAACCTGAGACAATTTGCTTCATCTTTGGCTATAGAAATAAATAGACATATTTAAATTCTTTTTTTTTTTTTTTGACTTTTTGAGACAGGGTTTCTCTGTGTAGCTTTGTGCCTTTCCTGGGACTCACTTGGTAGTCCAGGCTGGCCTCAAACTCACAGAGATCCGCCTGACTCTGCCTCCCGAGTGCTGGGATTAAAGGCGTGCGCCACCACCGCCCGGCCATATTTAAATTCTTTAATCCACATACCAATTTATTGTACAAGTAACATGACTACACATGTCAGTGGATATTCTCCAGGGCTTTCTAGGGTGTGGCTTCAGGCTTATTCTCACATGTGCATCACCTGTGTTTGCATTGTGGGTCGAAGTTAAAGAACTTGCAGAGGTGAGCACAGGGAGGGTATACCATTTGAAGGTGCAGGGGAGAACTGGAGTAGTGCTGGAACACACTAGATATTGCCATGAGCCGGAGGCTAGGAGAAGCCCAGAGGAGAGTCTCCTCACAGTCCTCGGAAGGACCCAGCCTTGCTGATACAAGATCAGACTTGCCTGAGATCAGACTTCCAACCTCCGGAACTGAGGGGCCATCCATTTAGTAAGCTATCCTTTTCTTGTCACTTTGTTACTGTGGCCCTTGAAAGCTCAGAGAGAGTTTGTGAAAATCCTGGTCACTTAGTGACAGGGCAGCAGCCACTGCTGGCACATCCACCTGACATGTTAGATCGGGGTTGACGGAGGTTAAAAGGGAGCAGAGGCAACCCTCAGCAGAGGCAGACTGTGCTCTCATCGGAACAATGGAGGCCGTCAGACTCTCCAGGTGTGGAGCCTGTGCACTGAGGCACAGAGGGTTTGGGCGTTTTTAAAGGGCAGAGAAGGGACTTCTAGGGTGGAAGATTCTATGGGGCGGGGCATTGGGGAGCTCTTGTCAACAACAGTGGAGATTGGTCTGTTGGCCTTGCCCGGAGCTTTCAGGCTCCTAATTGTCAGATGTTATCAACATGTCAATGTTCCTGTGAGGAGTTTCTCAGCTCTTAGGTCATTAGTGCTTCCCAGGGATACAAGAGCAGATTTACATTGTATTTGTCCATACTTTTTTTTTTTTTTTTTTTTTTTTTTGTTTTGGAGACCAGGCTGGCCTCGAACTCACAGAGATCCGCCTGCCTCTGCCTCCCGAGTGCTGGGATTAAAGGTGTGCGCCACCACCGCCCGGCACATACTTATTTTTATTTTTAGCTCACCAGCTTGAGGAAAGTACCAAAAATTCCAGTGACCTTTTTCCCCCCTACTAGAACTAGGATAGACTTCTCTGTTCTCATAAAATATCTTCATTACCAACATCCTAGGCTACCATGGGCTGCACAAGTGTGTCCCAAATTGTAATTCTGCTTTTTATTTATTCATAAATAAATTTAAAATTAGAAAGTCATATCTCAATTTTTTTTTTTTGATTTGACTTTGGAGATTTCCTTCCTGATTTTTCTAAAGTTTTACTCAGCAAAGCAAAACTGTCCAGAGGGTGTGGTGGTTTGAATGAGAATGTCCTCCCCCACAGGTTCATATATTTGAATTGAATTTTTGGTCCTTGGTTGGTAGAACTGTTTGGGAAGGATTAAGGGGTTTGTCCTTGTTGGAGGAGGTGTGTCACTGGGGGGTAGCCTTTGTGGTTTCAAAACCACAGCATTCCCTGCTCTCTCTCTCTCTCTCTCTCTCTCTCTCTCTCTCTCTCTCTCTCTCTCTGCCTCTCTTTCTCTTCTCTCTGCTTCCAACTTTTGAGTCAGGATGTACACTCTTAACTACTGCTCCAGTGCCATGTCTGCCTGTTTGCTGCCATGCTCCCCACTATGATGATCACAGAGTATAACTCTATGAACCTGTGAACCCCCAAATTAAACGCTTTTATTTATTTATTTATTTATTTATTTATTTATTTATTTATTTATTTATTTATTTAAGCTGCTTTGGTCGTGGTGTCTCTTCAGTGCAACAGGACAAAAAAAACAACAACAACAACAACAAAAACCAAGACAGGTGGAGGTCACCAAGTTGACAGGTGGCAAATCAACACAGCTGTCACTCAACACAGATCTTGGTCCCTTGCCTGTTTCTGTCACAGAGAACTGGAGCAGGCTTTCTCTTCTCGGTAACCTGGTCTCCTCGCATGCTTGTGGCCTTTTCTCTGACTTGCTTTGTTTTCCCACTTGTGGTCTCAGTGGTGCCTCTGCAGAGCTGCTTCCCACGTTCTTCCCGCATGATTATGGAGAACAGTCAGCTTTCACTTCCACCCTCTACACTCCGGCCAGTCACTGGGATCAGAGGAGGGTGCATTTCCCATAATCTTGTTCCCTCCACATATTCTGTCCTAAGGTCTTTGACCTGTCCTGTGTCCTCAAACCACAGCTGCCATACATGTTACTCCTTCTTATCAGCCTTTGAGCACTTAGGAGTGGGGCCTGGTTGCCATCTGCATGGACAGGTATGTAGAGACCCACAGAGGTTTCCTAGTGAGAACTTCCTCAGGGTCAGAGAATCTGAGCTTGCTTTACCTAGAAGGGTTGCTTAAGGGTATGATTTGACCATGAACACGGTCACCAGGTGTTTGAAAGGGTCTACACTTGGCTGTGCAGTGTGCTTTGATCTAGCAAGGGGGAGGTCTTTTGCTCTGCCCCTTGGCATTGTTATAAAAAATCCCTTTGGAAGAGGCAGAAGGGACTGCTGGGTTTTGATCCAGGTCCTCCTGAAGCTATCCTGTATTTCTGTCTTTCTCCTCTTAACTATCTTTCTATCTAAAAGTTTCTTATCCCTCTTTCCTCCTCATAGGAACCCTTTAAAAGGTGGGAGGCCGGCCTCCCACACAGGTATTTGGTGATTGTGTAATGAGTGAGCAAATGACCAAGTCTAGTGGACTTTACCCATGAGCTGTTGAGTCTGGCTGGAGGACCAAGGTTGCGTGCTGTGGGGAGAAGGAGTGAATGGCTCTTAGACAGGATTGTGGGGCTTCTGAATGGAGACTCGTTCTTTGGGTACTGGGGGCTCTCATGGGTCCCTGAGATAGGGATTACACAGCAGGTGAGTGTATTCTAACTCTAGGAACTCAGGACGTCTTTGCATTGGAGGAAATCAATGAAAGACTCTAAAAGAGCTTATGAGGATTCTATCTGTTAATATTTACCATTTAATAAATGAAGCAGAGATGTCTATGATATGTTTGTTAGCTGTTGAATTAAAAACACTTCCTGTCAGTGTAGATAAGCGTCTTTAGTGAAAAATAGCCATTTTCCAAAATAAAAATTTAGTAAGAAGATAATTAGTTTTTATCAGTTGGTGGGAGGAGAAATATCTGTGGTGATAATCTAATTGTACTGAATTATTATTTTGATTGTATGTTAATAAATAAAGTTGTCTGGTAGTCAGAGCTATTAGAGCCATAGCAAGAGTGTGGCGGTGGTGGCACACGCCTTTAATCCCATAGATATCTGTGTGTTCAGGGTCAGAGCTATTAGAGCCAT